TCTATATCGCCATCGGTATTTGCTGAACTTCGCTATTGGAAAAATGTTGAATAACTATATTGGGATGAAGAATGATCTATACAGGGTGTATCTAAATAACACCGATATAATTCAAGGGATGATTCCTTGTGATATATATAATATGATGAATAAAGGTCATATACATGTGTCCTAAGCTTGCTTCGTTTTCGAAGTACAGGGTTACGTCCTGATTTCGAATCCGAAGTGATTTTCAACCTATCTTGCCTCCTAATATCATTTTCCGGAAATGTTGGTGGGTCCATGACCCGAACAGTGTATTTCACTGAAGATTACCTCACTTTGGTCAAAGTTGGTATATATATCTATCGCTCCTTAAAATTGAACAGTAATGTTAGATATACGGGTTGATTCCATTAGAAGTGACATGCAAAATGTTTATATTTTCAAATACATCCAGTGGGATTGAATTTTATTTTATGTTGAATATTAGGGTGTGTTTTTTTATGTGATATATTTGTTTTATTTATTTCAAATATATATATTTTTTTAGTAGGCATATACTAGTACTTCTTTTATATAATTCTGAAATCTGATCCACCCTGTATTTGTTTCAATTAAATGGCATCAGTATAGTAAATAGAATGTTAGGATAGGGACACATGTAAGCCATTTTGACGAATCAATATAGGTATTGTACCTATATAGTTTCTATACAAAAAAAATCTCGATTTTTCACATTCTACGTATAGGTATACCTTGAGCTTGATCAACGAAATCATAGCTCAATTAGAAGAATCGAAAAATGTAATAAAATATAAGGTGTTCCATTTTGAATAACAAAGCTGCTACTACTACTACTAACTACTAATAATAATTTCTAGTGAAGCAGATGAACATTATCGAAAATAATTTGAATAAAACGAGCGTCCTCGCCAACAAAACATAAGCATAATTATAATATGTACATATAGTTTCATGATTTTCGATGAGTGGTTCGCTATTTACATGTAGGACTCGTCGTGACATAGCGAATTATTGCAAATCAAATCATCACTTTCATTATCTGATAGGTCGCAGTAGATCACTTGATGCCTATCGAATGTTTCTTATTTATGGAAAAAAAAAATGTTGAAATGTGAACAAGAAAACTGTTGGTGGCCCACCCCGTACTGCAAAAACAGAGACAGCATGAGAGAAGCTGCCTGCACCGCTTAGGCGTTGATTGATATATTACGCTTAGCGTAATATATCAATCAACGGCTTAGGTAACGATCGGGCGTGTTCGGTGAACACACGGGTATGATCTCGAGACTCTAGTGAGAATACCATTTGTTATCTGCAATGTTGTGGATAGGACAGCTGTTTACTCTTGATAAACGATTGATTTGGAGTATAGGAACAATGTAGGGCCAATAGTCGAAGTGAAAATTTCTATCCTCAAAAACACAGTCATTTCTGGAGGGTATTATGAATTCAGCACAATGTTATTATTATCATTATTATTCCTATTTTAGCCATGGAGCAATCATCCAGATAACATCACAGATTATTTCGTTGCACATTGTTAAAAAATTATAAAGGGGTCACAAGATAATACCTATGTAACAAGAATGCTTTAGCTCACTTAATCTATCTCATATAATACATATTGTCATAGTCTGAACAAAAGTAGACCAAATAATCAGATATCACAACAAACAGGGTGTTCGAATGATATTGTAAAAATTATTGAGGTCGGATTTGTTCAAAATATAACAAAATGATTCCAAAGACCACATGTTTTCTATATACAGAGTGTTGAGAATGACAGAATTCACGCAATCAGTATTAATTCATGACGGTGGAGGTAACCACAATTTCAATGACTTCATTTTTTTCCTCATATTCTGAAAAATCACCAAAATGCTTACTCCTTCAGAATTCAATGGGTTATTCAGCTGACTATCAATTTCCCCAACAATATCCTGTGAATTCCTACTTATTGCCCTAGAGGAGGGCAATATTATAATACTCTAGCTGTATCTGCGGCCATATATAGATTTCTGTTACTATTCAATACTGCAGCATCCGCCTACGGCTCATGCTGCAAACTTCATTCTTGTGAGAAGTGAATATCATTCCATCCTCGTTAAACAATGTACCTACTATTTTCAATAACGCTTTATTTTTGGGAATGTTCATTGAGTACAAATATTCCTATTTTGAGATTTTTTATCTCTCCTCGAATTTAATGTATATATTATAAATTGAAAGAATTTGGATTACCCCGTATGAAGGTTCGGAAAAGATATAAAATATTCTAGGACTTATAATTCCTCTTGGAAGAGGAAGAAGCTGAACATTGCATGAAAATGACAGATTGCGAAATAATTAGTGAATTCTATATCCCATCCAATATGATGAAATCACTAAATCAACTGTATTCATTCGATATCCCATAATATTCGAAACACATATCAAAGTAAATCTCTGGTAGTAGTCCATGCTCAAATTGGAGGTGATGAGATAATTAAGAAAACAAACTCAAAGTCTCGCTCCAAGTAAATTATAATCAAATCATATGTGCTACATGTTTCGACTCCTAGGAGTCATCATCAGGCTAAAATACAACACTTATAAATAAAAGAAGTTCCATCATTATTGGAAAATGGGTGACATACCTTGCTAGGTAGGAGGAGAAAAGAAACTATAAAATTGACGACATAGTTCGTAAGGGTTTCAGGCCCCAAATAATTTTAAGAAATGTCAAAAAACATTTTTGAATTTTGGTTTTTTGAACCCCCAAATAAACATTTTTCCTAAGATGCTTCTTTTTGGATCAAATAAACATAGTGTACAGCAAATGGCGCGAGTATGAAGTAAACAAACCGACAGACTACTTGATTTGATAGATAAAAATGGTAAATAAAAATTATTTTTCGACAAACAAGTGACAAATGTCCATCTATCAAAAACACGAAACATTGAAGTTGACTTAATGGGCCATACATCAAAGTTCATAACAAACAAGAAAATGTGTCTAGATTGACTAAGTCGGGTATTTGAAATTGTGTTTTTTGAATTAGGAATAACAACGTCAAACAAAAGGATTGCCAATGCAACCAATGAATGGAGAGGAAGATTACAAAATGGAATTGAAAGTGGATAGGCAATCAAATCTAACTTGTTCATTAAGACAAACAGTTGAATTTGAATGGGCAGATCTATTGATTTCTAAAATTTCCAGAAGGTTAAGCTTTTTTCCTTTAGGATGAACATGTAGGACTTCTTCTTCTACTATATTATGTTTGTGTTTATTCTCGAGAACATGGTTTGCGAAAGAAGATGTAGTGTTGATAATATCAGAGTTAATATATTCGTCAATTGTCTTTTTATGTTCTGCTATCCTGGTGGAAAAAGCTCTCTCTGTCTGACCAACGTATTCTGCATTGCAATCAGAGCATTTGATCTTGTAAACGCCTGACTTAGAATGTACAGGGTTTTCATCTTTGTTATTTACAAAAATGGAACCTAAACTATTATTGGTTTTGAAAGATAAAGAAATGTTATGTTGTGCAAAGATTTTCGAAAATTTGAGGAAATGTGGGCCAAAATAGGACATAGACCTGTATATCCTGTTGGATTTTTCGATTGATGGCAGAAGGTTCCTGTTAATAAATTTTGATTGGTGTTTATAAAAAAGTTTGTTTATTAAATTTAGTGGAAAACCGTTATTGTGTGCAATTTGTTTTATTATGTTGAGTTCATTATTGAAAGAACTTAATGAAAGAGGTAAATTGAAGAGTCTATGAAACATACTATGAAAACTAGCAAATTTCTGTTGATAGGGGTGATTGGAGCTGAACGGTATAGCTGTGTCTGTATGGGTGGGCTTTCTGTAAATGTCGAAAGTGAGGTTGTTGTGAGATCTATTAATCTTTAAGTCCAAAAATGGGATAGAACCGTTAACTTCAACTTCCATGGTGAATTTGATATTGGGGTGTAAATTGTTGAGAAAAAGCAAGAAATCATTAAGCATAGTACCATCGACATCAAACAAAACTATAGAATCATCAACGTATCTGTAATAGAACTTAACATCATTTTGAAAAATGGGGTTCTTGTGAAATTCTTTCTCTAGATTGCTCATATCAAAGTGATATCAACAATTCCTGAGACTGCCGCGTGTCAATTTAGAAAACCGATATTGGGGCAGTACTGGGTTACACGTTATAAAGTATCACTCTCCAAACCCCTTTAATTTTTGACAGTAAACAAATTTAGAATATTGTTTTCACTTCTTGAATCAACATACATTTTCACTGAATATCTGAAAAGATATACAGGGAGCAGCATGAAGTTTAGGAATTTCAAATTGAACACCCCATATATTTCTTCGCGATTGGAAAGACCTTCCGAAGAGCTTTCCAAAAATTCCTCATTCAATATAGTTATCTTCCTTATCCTCAAATTACGGATAACCATAACTAACAGTTTGATCGATTCATGAACGATTTATTTCAGAAGCCTATATTTTGAGAAACACAGAAAATGAATATATTGAGTGGGGTATTTTCGAGAAGCACTTCGAAAGGTCATTCCAATAGTGAAAATGTATCTGTTGATTTGAGATGGAAACAAAATCCTGTAAGGGTGTGTCATTATTTTTGTTATTCTGTCAAATACATGAATATTCTAGGGGTTGTTACTTGTACAAAAACTGTATGTGAACTTCTTCTGGGTGATACCTCGAAGCATATCAATTCACAAATTTATTTCCAGATGTTTTTATTTTTTCGGATTCAGTGATTTTTTGTTATCATCAAAATATGTGAACTTCTGTGAATGATCTTCATTGCAGTCCTGACCTTACACATTATATGATTTCTATATATTCTCTTATCAGTATTATCTTCCGACCTCAAAATACTAGCCCCATGCATTTGTCCCCACTTTTGCAAAACGTGAATTGTGCATTTCTGAAGGGGGTAACTCGATTCAATCAGATACTTATACGAAATACGAAACTATCTGCTTACCAGAAATTGCTGCAAATAGTTGTGTTTTAGTTCCAGAAAATAAACCATCACTTTCTTGCATTGTCAAAGGCCTTCGAAGCTACTTCACTTACAACTAACAATATAAATACTGATAAGAAGAACATTGGACGAGCCAAAAAAGTTGTGTTCATGCTCATCGCATGCAGAGTGACAGATTCCACGATTTTCTCGTTATCATCTGGATAATTATTATTGAATAAACAATTCATACTCGAACAATATTTATGTTTGGGAATTATTGCCTTTTGTTTTCAGATATTGAATATTATAAAATTGAATATCAGTGATAGGTTGATTTTGATGTAATGCACTTGTCAATAATGTATTTATAGTTAGGCAGACAACAGTGGCGTAGTCTTCCATGCAACTCTTACTGAGAAAAATATAAGTGAATCATTTTATGCTGCCTCATTATATTTTTATTTCCACGAAAACACAATAATGCCTCAAAGAAAAAATAATATTTTTCTACTCACATAACTAAAATGGCATTTTGCGTACGGATATGTACGACGCTAAATGATCGATTAATCACAAATTGACGATCTGTGATTTATTCGAAATATTAAACACGTTACCATGGCAACACGATTTCTTAAACACATTACCATGGCAATGCCGTTCATCAAACACAGCTTCAGTAGTTTGAGACATGGCTGGCCTGTCAATTGTATTACCTGTCAACTGTTATTTCCGAATTTCGTATCAGAATTATTCAAACAATATCCGTTTGTATCAGAATTCTTCATTAAAAATATATGCGAAAAGTAGACGAGAGTGAAATCGAAGAGAATGTTCTGGTACTTGCATATCTCCAAGAAGTGTAAAAATGAAGCATCCATCTTTGAGAAAAATTTATTTATTCTGCGTCAAGCATGACAATAAACGTGAAACAAAGGTTAGTAAGCAATGGACTGAACACATCTACAACCAATATCACTTATACGTGTCTCGCTGGTTGCATGCAGTTGCATGTATTATGTTCTCAATTCCCATTCCTTTCAGATTATTTTGTAGGTTAGCAGGAATTGCAGGTATGTTAATGTAATTTTCTGAGTTCGTAGAAAAATCATAGTATGTAACGCGTTTATAAACTCTTCTAGACACTCGTTTATTAAACACTCGCTCCGCTTGTGCTTAAACTACTCGTTACTAAAAGGACGTTTATAACACTTGTTACATAATATACTATTTTTTTACAAGCATTTGGTTTTTCTCGATGACAAGGTTTTTTATACAAGGTGTTTTACAGTGAATGGAACATGGAAGTAACTGGAGAACAGAACGAGATTCCTTTTCGAAATTTGGTGTGCGTATGGATAATTATTAGACATATTATGCTTCATCAGTCTCGAATATTTTCATAAAAGGGTGTTGCTGCTTAAATCAGCAAGTATTACCGACTTTTGATTGATTCGAAAACGTTCATTTGATCGAATATACATTTGGAAATGACTGTTAACATTTCAATAAATTTTAGAAATGGAAATCAAATTCAAGTATTTATTTTTCGAAATCATCACTAAATCGACTATTTCACATCCAAATATGTAACTTATTCATATTATTTGAATCATAAAAAAGGCTCTATCGACATAACGAGACATGTTCCAATTGAAAAATCAGAGTTGATGTCCCTTACAGAAGAACGAATGACCCTATATTTAAAAAAAACATCACAAAACTAAAATTTGATACATTTGGGCAAAGGTTTGATTTTAAGAGGCTTACCCTGTATTTCGTGCCTGCCCCGCCGCTGATGCAGGGTTTCACTCTCGCCCTCGGACCTGAAGTATCACTCACCAATTCAACCAATCAGCTTCATTCAGAAGCTGGATCTACTTGGTGAAGTATGAGTGGTACGAGAAACGGTGTGATCTTAACCTAACCTATACATTAACTTTGGAAAAACAGGAAAAATTCTTCTTTCAGTTCCGTTGTATGGCGAAACTTAGTGAGATGCAATGGCAGATCATTATACGATGAAACTACTAGTAGCATTCTGACTTGCAAGTGAATCTGTCGTTTCATTATCTTCTTTACCACAGTGGCCAGGAGTCCAGATCAGAGACAATTTGTTTTGTAGGTTCTTCTAACTGTTAATATTCTTTTTTGGCAGTTCAATGCGATGGTTTTTTCTCGAAATTTTTATTGGTACTCACGTATTTTTGTCTGGAAAACACGAATTTGATAATGAAAATGTGAACAAACTACTATTTATCGAGATATTTCAAGAAAAAGTTCGAAATTTTGCCTTCTTTTACCCCTTGTGTTGGATGCATTTACAGGTACTTGCTCTTTTTATTTTGTCATTGGACAGTTTATATACTCATGATGAACTTCAATGACACTTCAATGACACTTCGAAAAACCATCGCATGATAAGTGCAAAATTACAATTCCTTCTGTTCCTTCTGCATTGGAAGCAAATACTGCTAATAGATTGAAAATGTCTACAACACATACGATAATATTTCGTCAGCATGTCGGATCAGTCTTCCCGTTCGATTGCATGAATCCAATCTTGCATTCTTTTAGAAATTTCACGAGTATTTCTATTAGCTATTGCAGAAGGAAAGAAATAAAAGAAAACACCAAATTTCAAAATGAAACCTATATGTGGGTGACTAATAGTAGGTACTTACTTTCAAATCATAATGTACCAACTGGATTCCTTCGTCTCTCGCTGCATTTTCTGTGCATTGTACAACAGCACAATGTGATGGCATGCGTGAATTGAAGAATAGCCAAAAACCACGATTCGTATGCCGAAATAATTGTGAAAAACTATTTCAATCACTTGTAAACGAATGAGAATAGTGAGAGGTTGTGTTTCAATGTTGTTCCTCCAGGGTTGGTCATCTGACAGTTTTTGCACGCAACCCATATGTCAATATTTGAATATGGTGACTTAATGACTTGTCACATTATTGATCATAAAAATTTCCTCAAAGTAAGAATATCGCGTATCCTGCGAAGTTTGGGTGACAACGCAAAAAGTCACTTTCTCGGCTGACGCAGCAGCTATTGGACCTAGAGATGTCACGATTTTCTAGAAGTGTAGAGCTCAAAGTTTGCTCCGACGGTGGTTCTAACTCGAAAATCAACTATTTTGAGTTGTCACACTATTGTTCTCAACGTGCGATATGTCAATAATTGTTTTTTGTGTGAGGTTGGTTTCCTCCAACACGGAAAAAAAGGAATTGTTGAAACAAGCAAAATTCAATTGAATGGAGCGAATAAAAGTGTCATATATGCACGACAAAATATAATCTTGAAATGAGTAGATCTATATCTTGTTTCAGAGCGAATTTGAAGTTTGAATCAAGTAAATATGTCTTGTATGAACTCTGGATCTTCTTCGATCAAGCAGATCCATGAATTGTTTGTGAAAAGATAATGAATTGGCTCAAACAATCATTTTGTTTGATTCAAAATAACAAGATATTGATTCAATCAAATATTTAGTTGATTCAACGAAATATTTGGTTGATTCAAAGAAATATTTGGTTGATTCAATAAAATATTTGGTTGATTCAATTAAATATTTGGTTAATTCAATGAAATATTTTGTTGATTCAAGAGAAACTATATATCCATTCGACAAATTGTTTTGTTGAACCAAATTCAATATTCGGAAATTTTCTGAAATTTCACATCGATAGAATAAACAAAACTAGGAAACTAGTCGACTCCCAGAATAGATCTCAAGTCTTTACTTCTCCTTAGCTGATGGAAAACTATTTCGGATTGCTAATCACCTAAGTTCAATTTATCCAGCTAATATTTCAAACACGAAGAATCAGGCTTCACGTATATAATGAATTCGAGGCAGGCATAGACGAGGCGAAATGATCGCCATCTAGGGGCGAAAATTTAAGTTGATGTAGAATGAACAAAATATTTCATTGATTTTACATATTTCGTTGCTCTATTCAAGCAAACGATCCGTTCGAAACAAGTTTATTGCTACATCGGAATAAGAAAACTTGTATGTTGTTTCAAAGATATAATCTTATCAAAATGATCATTGTTTGATCAAATCAACGAAATGTTTATAGTTGAATCAACATCGACATTATTTTGTATCGACATAATTTGTTTTTGAAGAAACCATATATTTTGTTGATGGAATTGATATTATACTGTTGATTCAATTAGCCTACATTCTCGATTTGAACAAGCTGCTTCAATGGAATAATCATGTATCTGGTTGATTCAACAAAAAATTGCTCAGTCCAACAAAAATAACTCAAGCATAAAAACTTTGTTGATGCAACAACTCTTTTTTCTTTCGTGAATCTCTCCATATCCAAATCAATGGCGTTTCCGCCTGAAATACGGTTGCATTTAGGACCCAAGACAGATTAATATCTCTGTCCTAGGTCTGCGACCATATTATACATCCATACCAACAGACCTTATACTCTCTGCTCTTACTAGTCTCCCCATTTGGAGGAACCAGTCATTTCAATTCGAAATCAGGACGGGGTAAGGCAGGTCATAAGTTAATGTATAACTGACGCAGTCAGTGCTGATGCCATTAGATATTTTTGTGCATGGTCAATAACATCCTGCTGTCTATTGAGCATTATCATCAATGTTTATTGTTTCACAATCAGGCCTGTGCAGTTTCGCGTAATGTTTACTATTTAGCTTATCTATTTACTTATTTGTGTTCAACGTCCTCTTCAATGATCAAGCTGACATTTTCAGAAGTTGATGACTGAGTATACTTATAATATCCGTGTGATTTTAAGGTTTCTGTCTTACTTGGTCTGATCTTATTCGGCATCGCTGTTTTCGTTCATGAATTACAGGGCGGTTTGGAATATTTATACTCTTTGGACCCTTTCCATATATTATCCCTGTGTTCAGGAATGATGTTGGGTTGAAAACTACGTCTTACAGATAATTCTGCAATTTCAATATACTCATCTATATGTAGTCTGGACGAATCAGTCGACTACTTCCAATATGCCACAGCGTTGAAAATTCCATTGTAAGAAACCTATAGAGGGTCTCCCATAAGTCATATGGATCTGAAGTATTGGAGTGGTAGAGGCGGTCAGTTCCAATCAAATCAACCTCATATGTGGTTATCCAATTTGTAACCTTTTCACTTACCTTGTATGAATGGTTACTGCTCCGACAGCTGTTATAGTCTTGGAGAGCTGGGTCATGGATATGGACTGTGTTGTAATTTGGAGTCTGTCATTTACTATCGAAATTTTTGGGCACCACTCGACTTTAGTTTTATACTATGAAGGAAAGTTTCATTGAAAGGTCAAGAAAAAAAAAACTCATAGACTGGTTGAAAAAATTCAAAAGTGTTGATAATTTTTAACATAGATCAATAGTCCATCAGGAGTAGGGGTTGAGAAATACAAGTTAGTGGGTTTCGTATTTTTTTCAAGATTTTAATTATAATCATTCAGAAGCAGACCGATTTGTACAGCTTAATATCGCTCCATGAGCTATAGGTATCTTAAATTGAGCCATCATTCAAATATTGCATGAGACATATCTATCCTGTGTACACGGAAAAAAATGGTCCAAGTAAAATGTTTTCCTGACTTGTTTTGTATCGGGATAAGAAAAATAATACCTATTCCAGAAACAATTTTATTCAGCCTCTAGTAAAATGATAATTCTGAACGCATGAACTCGTAGCTATAATTTCATCCACCCATAGCAAATGGTTTTCATCTTAGATAATTCACTTTGTATAGCCACAGGAAAACATTTTATAAGCTCTGGTGAAGTGTATTTTAGACTTTATTAACTTCGAGTTTCTGAAAAGGAAATAATAACTACAGAAACTCGTGTTACAAGCACAAAACAATTGTTTATCTGCGGTACAACCCAATATACCTACGGTAATACAACATGTTCACCTGCCCAGTAATCGGGAATAATCGTCGCCCTCTCGTGTTGTATATCCGAATTGATCAGAATCCATCAGCGTCACTAGCGTCAGTTTCGTCGTGACTTCGTGAGAGTATGTTCAGTTTGAGGATTTGGTGCACGTGGTAAATCGAAAAATAATTTTTGGTGTTGTATTCATTATATTATGCTGAGGAAGTATGACTCATCACCACGAGAGGTATAGACACATATAAAGTGAGTTTGATTGCAAATGACCCCCCCTACCACCCCACTCCTTTTGATCCATGACTTATAGGACACCCTGTATAGAAGATGACTTCCTCATCAACAGTAGGTGAAACTTTAGTGAAAAATGTTTGCAAAAACCGAGGCAAAAACATTATCATTTAAGTGGATCACCTGTAGGGATTGCCGAATCCGACCGGATTTTCATCAATCTGATCTAACCAACCAACTTGAACTTTCCTTTCTCATTCCAACATGGATCATTAATGGAATGTAAAAAATGAAGATTCGAGTACGAAATCAACTTCATTCTGACTGAAAAACAAATCAAATCACAAATCAAAAAACAAAACAAATAAAATCACAAATCAAAAAACAAAACGAATAAATTCTCCAATCAAAATAATAAAACAATCACCATTCCTTATAATATTTCAATTCTTTCTGGTTTGGAAGAACGATCTCAAAAAACGAATTGTGTTCATTGTTCCATTTGTCAGTCTACTTCAAATAATACTTTCAGTGAATGTAGCCTGCGGCCGAGAAGGCTCTTTCAGCTTCTACACTTGTCGGCTTAATTGTAAGCAAATAATCATGGACAGCAAACGAGTATTCTCCTCGAACAAATGCAGTCATTCCATTTTTCAGTATTTTATCAAAACCTTTTTTTTCTGAGTTTGTATGATATTAGACGCTACTTCTTGGTGGATCTGTAACTGTAGTTCTTCTCTGCTATTTCTTCCACAAGTTTCACGCTCGAGTATCAACTCATACAACAGCGCGATCATTTTGCCAAAATATTCAATCACCGGATCCGGTATATTTGTACCAGATCCGGTAAGTGTATGACCGGATCTGCCGAATCTCCGGAACCGGTTTTTCGGATTGCAATCCCTAATCACCGGTGATCTACAGATATTTATTTTCATCGTGCTACGTGGATTACATATCTTACACCTAAACATAATAATAATATATTCTATCTACTCACTGAATCGGAAGTAGGTGTTTGCTCCCTCATTTGAGGAAATGAAGTTATCAATTTACTACCACGGGACGAAGAAAATATCAACTCCCGTGGGAGGTGAAATAAATTGTCTTCAGCATGCATCCTTTGGCGTCAATATACCTATAACATCTGTGCAATCCAAGTAATCAGTGTCTTCATCCCTATTATAAAACAAATAACAATAATATCCTGTTTGAATTCCAATGATATTATATGCTTCTTCATATTCCGAACGTTCTTCTTAACAAAACTTCCAAATGTAGTTTCACAATATACAAATCGATTAATTCATAATGACAGAAGTGTCACATTGACTTTTGTTTAATAGCCGTCAACTATCCATGGCATACTATACCTTTGTAATGCATAATGATTGTTCTAATTGTTGTTATTGTTGGATGGAGAGATAGACCGCCTGAAGTACAACGCACAAAGAATGATGCTTTGAATAATGCGTTCGTTGATAAAATCATATAAAGACTTTGCAGACCTATCACTCTTCTATCGCTACTATCATGGACGATGCTCTGTTGAATTGTCATCAGCTGTCCCCCCTGGAATGACCTTTGTTCGCCAAACACGGCTGGCTCAAGTCTCACACCAATATGCGATCAAAATTGGAACACCTAGAACAACAAATTTCAAGAACTCCTTCTTTTGTAGGACATCTTCACTGTGGAATTTTTTACCCACAGATATATTTCCAGCGAACTACAATCTATTTACCTCCAAGAGGAGGATCCATCGATTTTTGTCCCTCCTTAGTGCTCGCAGTTCCACCACGGGATTATTGGTCCAACCTTTCGCGAGCACTTCCGAATATGAAAAAAAAGTTCATGGGAGCAGAGGTTTATTTCCTCCCATGTGTATTCAATGCCCTCCGCTACGCGTCGTGCATCAAACTTCACACGCGGGAGGAAATGGATACCTTTTCTTCCTTGATATATAAATAGCTATTCAGGCACGACCAAGCGTAGGTCATAGCCCTCGCTACTTATACGCTGCGGTCCATAAAACCCTATACTTCAGGCCCTTGATACATTAATAACTATCAAACTGCTATTTCACTGGTGTCCTCCTGATATACTCAGCTTCTTCTTCTTCTTCTTCTTCTTCTTCTCTGCACAGGTGGGCAAGTGCGTAGACCTAGACCTCTTCAGTCGGGCCCATTGTGCGCCCACTTGTCCTATGAATCAGCTGGGCATGCCGATTTCTTTGACAAAATTAAGCAGCTTCCTCAGATGAGTCGCTTTCACATCCTTTGGGTGCAGTACAATGCACCCGAAGGCAGCTTTCCTCTGATGCACCAACGCGGGGCATTCAGTGAGTATGTGTGATCATGTTTCATCATCCTCCAAGTACCATCTGCAGATGGGATCATCTTTGATCCCTATGAGTTCTAGGTGCCTGTTGAGGTGGTTGTGCCCAGTTAAGAGCCCAACTACCATCTTGAGATCCCTTTCATTAAGTGACAGGATCTCTCTCGTGAGCCTTCTTGAAGGTTCCTTTATATGGAGCTTTGCTTGTCTCATTCCTGCCTCTGTAGCATTTCCTCCATGAAGGACATAGTCGTACTATTGGGTATCACCAATAACGGTTCTGGTTCAATGGGTGTCATTCCTGAACAGATCTTGCCTCCTCGTTCCCCGGGATACCAGAGTGTCCTGGAACCCACATGAGGATGACTTTTCTAGTTTTTGCCATATTTTCTAAGGCACTTCTACACTCGGACACCAATTTAGTTGTGATCCTATTGGATCGCGATGCCATAATAGCAGCTTTGCTGTCCGAGCATATGGTGACTGGTAGACGTCCGCTTCTGCCGGAATTTTCTTGGACACACGTCAGAATTGAAAACACTTCGGCCTGGAACACTGAAGCATATTTGTCAAGAGGTACTGAGATTCCTTTCTCTCCCAAGTAACATTTTAAATGCCTAATAGCTTCGATGAGACTTTAAAGAGGTTATGTGAGCGCAAATGATAGGTCTAATTTGTTCTACCGTTTTATGAATGCCCTGGAAAAAGCATATTGGCCTTCATGTCCATATAATCCTATAAAAAGGATTTGAGATACTATGATAGAACTATCGCATAAAACAATTTGGCATTCAACTCACCTCGGTTTTAAGAGAGCTCTGTGAGAGTCATTGAAATTCTTCATCAAAACTATTTACTCTCAACAACCCTCTTAAAACTCTTAAGTTTTATTAGTGTCTTGAATTTGACCAAGAGGTTCTGAACTAATCCTATGAAAATACGTCATAAAGCAATCATAAAATCAAATTTACACTAGGCCAATTAGGATTTGACTGAGGCAATAATGAAACCTATTGGCATTATTTTAGCTATGTGAAAGTAATTATTAAAACCTTTAAGCCACAATGAACTCATCGAAGTCAATCATAAAATCTAGAGGATTCATGAAGTTTCATTTAGAACCGTGTTAAACCCAAATCCTATAATATAAATGTTCGTATTATTTTGCCTACAAACGACTCACGTTGAAATGGACTCACAAGAAAATAAATAGTCTGGAATTGAGATAAATGGCAACTCCAAGCGAAAAAATGAAGAAAATTACTTAAGAATCAAAAATCAAGTCGTGAGTGCAACAGTAAATCAGAAATCTCAAGCCCAAGCAATTCCAAACACTGCGTCTTTCATTTCATACCACCTGAATCCACCAAATAGCAAGAATTCATTAGGGCCTGATGTTCATGAAGTACCATCAACCAGTCAGAACGTAATGGAAAATACTTCTGATCATCGTGCTTCTGAATGGGAACTAGGAAGCAAGGAAGTTGACAACAGTTTTGCACAAATTATGTCAGATGGCGAGTAGAGCATGAATTTGAAAGAGTGGAGCAATCAACACAATATCAGGCGAATTGCACTGAGTGTAGGTTGTCTATGTTTCCTACTCGGTTTCCTACTTTAAACCAATCACAAAATTCACAAAGTGAACACTGTAAACAACAAAAGTGGGGTTATGTTAATCATGTTGATGACGTTCTTCTACACTTTGCAACACTGCCAATGAGCACTAGCCAGGATATTTTCAAAGCTTTATAGTTTTATGAAGGCATTATCTTATAACATTCTTAAATCAATCTTATCATTTTCGAAGCTTTGTTGTCATACCCAGGAGCAAATAGTCATAAGAATGGATTCGAATATGCAATAAGTATTTCAACAGGAGGAAATCGTCTCATAAAATGCCTTATCATTACCCAAAGGTTTTAATCAAGCATTAGAGAAAGAAAACTGGTTTTAAGTATATTTTGCGCTATATTTACTACAAACAGATGTCGGCCATTGATGGAAATGGAAATTTCAAGCGGAGAATAGAAAAGATGCATTGATACTGCCGTCGAAAATGTTGTTTTTCCACATTTTTCAAACGACTCACCCATATTCAGCAAATATTCACACAGTTTTGTCAACTTTTTTGAAAAGTTATTGAAATTCACATCCAATTCTAACTGGTGAAAATACATTATTTTCTGGTATGTTTTCGTCAAAAAAATCGCCATCGTTTTCATTTTACAGCCTCAATCTTCACAAAAAGGCCTATTTGATACAGTAGGGAATTATCATATCATACCGCCATGTTTATAACTATCTATTGATCTTTCTCCATTTTGACATGTTTGTATTATAATTATAGTTCTGAAAAAAGACTATCATAAAACACGTTACGGACTATATTATCTTAACAAATGCTTACTGCGACTGATAAGGTTTTAATTCTAGCCAATTAGTTTTAATGTTGGCATAAGAAATGTCGTTTTAAAACATACAGGTTTGATCTCGTGCTAAAAGGCTTTAAACGAAGTAGTTTTGATAGGTTTTATTATTGCTTTGAGGCATACTACAATAAATTCCTATTAGTTTTATGACAAGCTTTAAGAGAAGCTGTGACAGCATTTATAAAGGTGGGCCCTTTATGTTTTGAGAAGTTCTTTAATTGTTTTAATGATATCATTAAAGTATAATAGTTTTAAAAAGGCATCTTAAAATAGGCTGTAACAACCTCCTGTAGCTAACAATAAAACTGATAATGTTTTTTGGGCTGTTCCTACTTCATATACTCCTGCACTAGACCCGCCACCAAACCTTGAGCCAGCCGTGATAATTATCTTATACAAGCCGCATCTGTACGATTGGTTGCATAATTTTTGGGGATAATATTTCCCAGTCAATCTTTGCCAGTGTTCCAATGTTACAGCTCGTGTCGAGACAAAAGTGATTTACTTTTACGTCGGTGTTTGTGAATATATATGAATTATATAGAACCATCATGCGGAAGATTCTTGTGTAGGAATAATGATGTTGGGAAGAGACAATATAAGAGGTCAAGAGCTGCAGGAAGAAGTGAATAATTCCTCAGATGTATAGGAGAATTTAAAAGAATCATCATCAGGATATAGTTTATCAGAATTGAAGAAGAGTGGAGATGCTGAAACAAATCAGTCTTCATTCTTTTCACCTCAACACACATTCTCAGACATTACACAATATCCATTAGATATCCTATGGAGAGTCCTATATCCACTGAACATATTTTATATCCATGAGAGATATCGAATGGATATACAAATGGATATACTATACTATAATTATCAAACTATTGTGTACCCTAACAACACAGGGATGTCCTATGTACATCCCTTTTTTGTCCCGCGGTACAAGGACATGATTGGGGCATCCAAGGGATGTCGTGCAGCAGTTGTCCAGTTAGGTTATCCTATTCGTGTTCGTGGAATATCTGATATCCATCCACATCAGAGTAAATGAATTTCATCTAAATCTTGAGTAGAATTTTTTTGAAAATGTTCGTTTTTCTTCCGGAACATAATTGTGATGAAAATAAAGAATATGGTCTCAGAACTTCAAATTGTTAATAAAGTATTTCATTTCAATGAAACTATCAGAAAGAATATTTTATTATATGTATTTGTATTTGTATGTATGTTCGTTTATCAAATACTTGGATGAATCGAATTTTTGATACTATAATTATCTCACTTCCATATCTGCAAACGAAAATCAAGAATAAGTCGGCTCATTCACTATTTAACTCTACCAGGTCCCTCGTTATATCGCTCTATATGCTTCGATGCTTTCTGAAACGCAATCGCAACTTTGAATGAAGTGAAAATGTATCTTGAGAGTCAGCGATAGGGTTTCGGAGCCGATTCATCAGCAAAACATTATCATAACTTCCACAGAATGATCCATGAACATGTAATAATCATTTTATTAGATTCACAACTTATTTTTATAACAATATTATTTGTCTATTTTAACCATTTTCACATACGATGTCATCTTGCAACGCAAAAAGCTGATGATAGTCAGCTTTTTGCGTCATTTCAATTGCACATTTTGTTTCACAAATCAGAATACGAACGGTTTAAACAAAAAAGAAGTTTGGTTGTAAACGCCGGTTAACACATTCGGTCGCTTCAAAGTCTGTAAACGACATAATTTTGCAGAGCGTGGCACTATTTCAACAGTCACTACGATGCTACAATCATTCATAGAAATCCTGTGGAACCAATAGGAGTATAGAAAAATCTAGTCATCCCCACAAAGTATCTCGAAGGTCAACTTTTCTCACTCAGCAATGAATCCATATTCGCAGGAATATATTTTTCTCCTTTCATCAGAAACTGTATCTCCTCCAAAGTCTTTCCCTTCGTTTCTGGAAGATATAATAAGATGAATGTGGCAATAAGGAAACTACTAACTGTGAATAAATAGAATGGAGCATGTATCCCATTAGACTCCACCAACCAGGTATATAGCTGAACACTAATTATGGCCCCAATCACATACATTGCATCAGATACAGTCATCCCTATAGCCTTCATTTTGGCAGGAAATATCTCAGCAGTTATGACGATTGGTACAATACCCAGTCCAAGTTTGAATGTTGCAGCATAGACCATCACTGCTACTATTGGAATCCAGCTCACACCTCTGACATCATATCCAGCTATCTTCAGATGGAAGTAAATAGCTATTGCTAATAGACAGAAACCTGTTAGAACTGTCGATATTAAAAGTAAAGCTTTTCGACCATATTTATCAACTTGTAAGGCAGCTATCTGAGCAGAGATCACCATTATCACGGAGAATAAAATGGCAGCATGCGATGAGTCCATGTAAATTGATCCAGCAGATTCCAGGATCATATGTAGATTCATGAGGATGACACTTATTGCTACCAAATGCTGACCACCGTTCAAAATGGTCATGATTATGATGGCTTTACGATTACTCTTCACCAGAATAATATCCATAATTCTTCCTCTCTCAGTCTTCTGTCTCTCTATCGCTTCAGTGATATCCTCCAGTTCGATGGTGACATTACAGTTTGGGCGAAAATATTCCAGTGATCTCCTAGCAAGCTCTGGTTTGTTCTTGAAGAGAAGGTAATAAGGTGATTCTGGCATGAATGAAAATATCGATAGCTCGGTGATCAACACTATGCAACCGACGACTGAAGTTACATAAAACGGCAAAAATGGTCCTACACTGTAGACGATCACGAATCCCACTAGCATCATGAGATAAACGATGCTCGAGAGAAGACCTCTTATCTTGCTGTCTGCTATCTCAGCTATATACATAGGCGCTGCTACAAAAGACATGTTCGCTGACATTCCGAATAAGAACCGTACCACATGGATGTAAACCATCTTGTTCGCTACTGCTATGACTATCCAGCCGAACAGAGAGCAGCACGTGGCTAGAAGTAAGGATCGTTTTCTTCCGATTTTGTCAACTAAGTAGATAGTTGTAGGGAGACCACAAAAGGAGCCCAGCATCAGGTCTGTTTCCAGCCATTCCGCTTCGTATTTCGTCGTGGCCAGATGACTGCTGTTGCTGATGAGGTAAGGAATGATGGGAGCAGTCCATCCGTAACTCATTCCATCTGATATTGCGAAGAGGGTACCTGGAAAGATAAGACATCAATGTGAAGTGGTCAACAAAATCTCGAAGTTGGAGTGGTAGAAACCAGACCCAGGACACCTGGAGATAGCATTCGATTTTGGGGAAATCAATCTTGTGGTACTTATATGATTCTACCATAGCTATCTGTACCTACTCAAGCGTGGATCGGGGGGCTTGCATGTGAATTGATCAAGTTTCATCAATTAGTTTCACTTTTTTTCCATATAAATTGAGAGTGTGTACGATTTCAACTCGCAACACTCAGATTTGAAAAACACGTTGACCGATTCAGGGCTCCGCAAGACCAAGACTGATCAGTCAGAAAGATAAATTTAGTCGTCGTCTTGGTTTTGAAGTTTCAAGACGAAGACGAGACTGGCTCAGTCTTGCTCTTGGTCTTGATAGTCTTGGTATTGGATCAAAATGCGTCTAGGAATTTGAATTATTCAATTAGAATATCCAACAGTTTACTCTTGAGAGTTAAGTTCATTTTGAGAATATATGGAATATATTTTACCTTAGACTCAAATGAAAATTTTCTAATATAGTACCCAACGAGTTCTCCTAAGAAATGTGGATGAATCTGAAGTTTTCAGATTCTCAATACTCAAATATAAAAAACAACTATAAGGCGATTAAGTGAATAGCCTTGATTGATACAATATCCTAAAGGAATTTGGTGTTAGTAATTCAATAGCAAATCTTGATATTTTTGCTTTTTGTGAATATGCAATAGTGGCAAATAAAAACTTGTATACTATTAGGGACAAGAAAACCAGCTGATAACCACAAGAAAATTTGTATTTTAAAGAACATACACCTACCAAAATTAACGTGTTCCATTGAATTCTATATTGATAACCCGTAGCACTTGTCATTAATGACCTATTCAATTGTTATCAGTGACGTATTCAATTATTATCAGTGACTTATTTATTTATCATAAGTGACGTTTTTTTTTTCCTTTAATTTCAACGCCCTGTATCTCAGAAATGAAGCAACTCCGGACATATGTTAATAGGAACTTTTCTTCTTGAAATGACCTTACGAATTACTACCTGCAGTCTACAACCGTAGTTAGGAAACACCCTGTATAATAGGTGGTAATTTATAACAGGACACCCTGTTTGGTTATCTGAACTGTCATGTTAAGGATTCTCCACCTGTTACTATCTCGTCACCTTGAAATAATCAGTTGTATTGGAAATTGTGTTTCAACTCAACAATAACAAACATAATGATCATAGGAACAGGGTGATCTGGAATTCGGTCACAATCTTTGAAGAAATATAAATTGAAGGACTGAATCTATGTATTTCATAGACTTGAACATATCAGAAATGGGTATGCAATCGGTACATTAGATAGGTACTAACACATTATTAAAAAAATGTGTTGACGATATCTTATGTTCTCAAATTCCTATGAAAATTAACTAATGTAAGAAATAACTCATTTCGATGAGCCAGCTCAACACGGAGCTCCAGAATTGTTTCTCGATCTTTCTGGGACTGAGAGTTCATTCTGTAACAATGATACTTTCGGAAGGAAATATTCTAAGATGAAATTATGGAAATGAACTTTCCTGAATATATGCCACATTGAAAACAAAATCTTCTGAAGTTTATAACAACTCTTTTGATGTTTTGGAAAAGAAAAAGATTTTGATTTGTTATAGGCACGGCAGCTCGTTTGTTTGGGAGCAGGTCGTGAGTTAGTTCTTTTTATTATTCACTAGTGGGGTTATTCTTTTGTCAGGCGCCACTCAGTTTCCACAGCAGAATTACTGAGAAAAAAATCCAAGATATAAATATAAGCCAGAATAACTGTTAACAGATTTATTCACCTTAACATGTCAACAATAGGTATTCAAAATGGTGGTAAATATGTACTATGATTGTAACTCAGTACAAGGGTAGATTTCCCTTCATATAGGCATATACTTTGGGTTCACAGAGTCTCTAACAGACCCAATAATTCTATTAAATGTAAAATCCGATCTTATACTGTTATGTGTTAGCTACAAGTGTTTAAATATCTCATGACATTAGACAGTGAAAAATAACTAGTTAAATGTCCTCAGACAGGAAGAAAATATGTAGATTAAATGTCCTCAGACAGTGAAAAAATATGTATGTTAAATATCTTCAAGACAGGGAAAAAAAGTACATGTTAAATGTCCTCAGACAGGAAAAAAATATGCAAGTGAAATGTCCTCAGGACAGGGAAAAAAGTATATATGGAAAATTCTGACCTAAGCTGCAAGTTCTGGATTTTGAACCATGAGTTTCCAACTGTGGTCCACTCGATCTCACTACCTGGATGAAACAAAGACACTCCTCCCTCAGTCGGCGTTAGGGGTTAGGTGTGCTAGGAAAACTGGATCCCCACACAGTTGACAGGAGTCACAACCACCTAGAGACCTGGGCACTTGGTCTATCCTAGGGCAACTGGATTCTGCACTGCAACTCTGGCTGACGGGTCCACAGGCTGCCACCAGGGCAAGCTCTTCCTACCATCCAAGCTGGACCAGGATGTCTCACTATCTGACTGGGCTCTGGGAGTTCAGGCTACAAAGTAACAAAATCCTAGGGATGAAGGATCATCAAACATACCGGGAGTCTGGACTCCCCTGGACTTTCTGTCAGAAGTCAGGATCACTGGCTATCTGAACCAGAAGGCTACTAGGGACTTGCACTGTTGGCAGCAAGGATTCTCCCAGAAATTCCAAGCTGTCGGGTCCTATAGATGCCCAGGGACACACACAAGAAATCACCAGGGTTCTGCTTCCACCTTCAAGTGTGTTGGTGACTCAGGCTTCAAAGCACGAAGATCCCTCAGGTGCCTCAACCATCGAAAAGTGTCCACGTGATGTCCAAACAGTGAAGTCCAGAAAACAGTTCAAGATTTCTAAATGCCCATAGTTGATGAGATTCGATATTTAGTGATTCATCCAGTTAACAGTGTTGATTGATAAAATTCAAGTCCAGAAACATGCCATGTGGTCAACAGAAAATGGAATTCAAATCATCCACTTAGTCTGTACCCCCTGCTCCCCTGTATAAGGCCGTGATATCTGAAATGTAGATACCCCATCGAATATCATTCACACAAAATGAGATTTAATATTTCTTACCTTCCTATCGGAAAGGCCTAACACAAAAGTAGGTGTCTACCACCTGACTTGATCGCACGGGAGCCAAAATCAAAAATGGCTTCATTTTGCTTCAACACATGAAACCTTTTCGCAAGAGAAGGAATCAGCAAGAAGGATGAATAAACGGAAATTGCTCAAATAACAAGTTTCCGTCAATCAGAGCACTTGTGATCTATTCAAAAAAAATAATACAAACCAAATTCCGTCTCTGCGCAGTGTCAATCTAGCCACCCAAATAATATGATTCAAGTCAGATTCAGGGATGCAACTTGAAAGAAATATTAAATATCGATCATGACATCGATAGTCGATACGATAGTCGATACATAATTGCAAATATCCCTGCACCATTACAGGCCACTGCCACTAAACGCGACAAACAGACTTCTACTGGCAAGAGACTATGATGGAAACAACAATATTCATGGGCATCTGACAAATGTGTAAGAATTGTTAAGAAGTGGACTAAAATAACCCAACAGTCATCCAGTCATGGACATTGAAAATGAAAACATTCAACAAGATGGAATTACAAAGTACCTCAAAACCTAGAAAAGAAATCATTGAGTTACGCAGTGCATCTCTACAAAGCTTCCCCATTACCTATTTTCAGAATTCACAATATTGAACACGAAAAGGCAAATTTTCAAGTTACAAGTTGACAATTTGCATTCTCAAAGAAAAAAGAAAAAAACAATGAAAATCCCAAAGTCTGTCGACCACTGCAGTGGTCGACAAACTTGGGGATTTTCATTTTTTTTTTCTTTAAAATCAATTGGACCACTTTGAGAAAAATGGATGATTTCTATGATTTGCATTCTCCTCCAAATAGAAATATGTATATGCGCATTATATCATTCTAAATACTCAACAGAGAACTACTTTCCTGGCTATTAGCCATGTCCTCTTACTCGATAAACACAATTTTCTAGCGTTACATGATTCCATATGGAAAATAATATCAAAATTAAACTACGAAAAAACGAAACAGAATGCGAAGAAGGGTCATTATATCGAGTATATCCGCCAAGGGAACGATGTTTGGTCCAGGTCTTCCCAAATTTGAATCATCAGTCTTTGCCGTGTGTTTTCCAAATCATTCAAATAACGGTACCTTTGTTATCTTGTCTCAAAAATGTCCCACAGATTCTCAATGACATTCAAATCTGGCCTCCAAGCTGGCCATGCCATATTGTAACAATACCAACTTCCTCTATATAATTAATGGAATTGAATATTGTAAAGTTTCGGAGCATCGGTTGGATATAGTCCTGCACGATTCGCTGTTGCGTTCCAATCAACAGTGCTGTTTTTAAAGTGGCGCATGGAGTTAGTTAGTAACAAAGCCTACACAGAACACGCAGAAAGAGACGATGATGTGGTTGTGAGCTACAGAGAAGAAGTAGTACGGTGTATGTGGGTGAGTGTGGAAAACTACCAGCTGAGCGTGAGAGCGGGCCAATGCTGCTTAGTGGACCTCGGTCTCTAACGGGGTTAACGAGAATAGCAGCAGGCCTGCTACTGCAGCATATGGTAGTGGGTACATCACTAGCCTACAAAACACAGGCGAAAAACTCTGAAATGAGAGCTGATCGGCGGTGCCTGAAAAAGATGTTAGCCAGCTCTCTTGAGCGAACCACATCAGTCATTGAAAACACCTTGAGGCTTGCAAAAAGGTCCCATTAGGGACTAGTTGCTCACGTGCAAAACGTCTTCCACCAGTACCAGTACCAGTTCTCTAGATAATTTCTCACAACTCACACTTTCGGGTGTAAATTCAATCGAGTGGATTTCAGAAATAAGTCCGATTGAAACAACACTTGATTAGCAATATTATTACAATATCAACTACGAACTAGCCACAATGCTCAAAGTGAAATGAAATGTTGAATAAATGCAAAAAGCTCAAAGTTTCTTGTTCGGTATTACATGCAATTTCAGTGTGTGAAATAAATCATATTATTGCAGATTATTGATTTGAGAACATAGGTACCTATATAGTGAATAATCGCCGCAATGGAGTTGATTGTTCTAATTGGTATATAGATACTCATCTACACTCAGTTCCAAAAAAAGTGACGCTCTTGATATTTGACCTAGGTATCTTCTTGAAATAACAAAAAACAGTTGGCCGATTCTCATTTTCTCTTATTTGATGGTAGTTGATGCATTTGTAAAAAAAAAATAAAGAGTAAAAAAAAATTTCAAAGCCTCCTTGATGGTGGTGGCTTAACTCGAACCATGATGTTTTCTTTATGTTTGGCTCACCCTGTGTGTTAATTGAGTAATGGCATAAAAAGTGCTCACACGCTATACAACAGAGGCTTCTTTTACGAGCATTTTGTCTCTTTATTCATTGATGTATCTCTGAAATTTCTCGAATTACAGCTTTTTTGCTGAATCCTTACAGATTACCAACTTTTTGAATTTATCTAGAAACAAATTTTCTAATGGATTAAACTGATACTAATAATCTTAAAATACATCATTATTAAATCATAAATTGGGATGACTGCTCAATACCGTGTATTGCCTCCTCTAGCAACTCTAAGAACTTCTAGTCTACGAGGTACACTGAAAATCAAGTTGCTTATCGTTTCCATTGGTATACGATTCCATTCTTTCACTAATGCATCTCTAGCGAGAACGTACCCTTCTCCCTAATTCATCCTACAAATGTTCTATAGGATTCATACCGGGGCTTCTCGCAGGCCATTGTAATGTGGTAATACCAGTAGCGTCTAAGAAGTTTCGCACTATTGCTGCGGTGTGTGGTCGGGCATTATCCTGCATCAATATAAAATTATTGCCCACTAACTCTGCATAAGGTCGAACATACTGCTCTAAAATGTCAATGTGAATTTGGACATTCATCGACTGCCTCACCGGAAAAATATGAAGGGGTGTCTTTCCATTCATTGAAATCCCTCCCCACACCATAACGGACCCACCATAAAAACTTTCGCATTCTGTTATTACATTTTGATTAAACCGTTCACCAGTTCTTCTTCACACTCTTTTCCTTCCAACCACCATGTTAAGGCAAAACCTTGACTCATCCGTAAACAAGACATTCGACCATTCAGGAATAGTCTCACTGTCCATAATTTTCAACAAAATTTCTTCCAGCAGCACGATGTTCTGGCAATAATTTGGGACCTTCTGCAGGTGTCCTAACTTTCGAATAAACTTCTTTTAGACGTCTACATACCGTCTGCTTACTTACTGCAACATCACGAATTTGTGAAGATCTTGCTGAACATTTACCGCAGTATTTGGTCGATTCCGTAAAATCCGCAATCTCAAGAAGCGATCATCTCCTCGATCATCTCTTGGAAAAGTTTTTCGGGGGCGACCAGAACCGACCCTCCGAGCGGTGCTTCCTGTTTGTTCTTACTTGCGGATTGCTCTACGAGCAGTTGCTTCATGAACTCCCACTGCACGAGCGGCGTAACGTTTACTACGCCCATCGTTTACTAACGCAACTAATCTTGCTACTTGTACAGGATTTATTTGAGGCATTTTATGTAATTTCAGTCAATAAAACAAGACACTCAATTAATGACACAACGGCAAATGGTCAAATTTGGAGGCATACAACAGATTAGTAGCTATGGTAACGGCATTTGTTCTTTCAAAGACAATGTGATCCTACCAGAGTACAACCCAATCAATTTTGAGTACTCTGATCCTTCAATAAATTTAATTTGTGGGATAAGCGTAAGGTATCAGCAAAAAAGCTGTAATTCGGAAAATTTTTGAGATAAATCAATGAATAAAAAAACAAAATGCTCTCAAAAGAAGCCTCTTTCGTATAGGATGCAAGCACTTTGTATACCAATACTCAATTAACACACAGGGTGAGTCGAAAATTGAGAGATAAGAAAAAAATTAAGTGTAAGTGTGTGCAAAATGAATTTTAACGTTCCGAAATCTACAACTGTCAAGTGTGTCAAAATCTGTTTCATGGATACTCATACTCATATATAGGTATAGTAGTCACTATTGAGAATGAGTATTTGTAGAATGCTGATTCAGAATCTGAGAACCATATGAGGTGAGTCTTTTGAATTTTCGTGTACCTCACAAACAGTATTATTGTTCAGAGGTTCAGTAGAACGAATACCTGAGCGAATACCTACCTACCTATTTGAATTTCACGAGACGATGGAATGTCACATATTATTACTCCATCAAACGGCATGCCAGTATCACCCTTATTACTCGATTCATCACAATAATGTATGTCATTAACTGTTTAAAACCGAGTTAGCAGTTAGCATTGCATGAATGACTCAATAGTTGTAGATTAAAATGACAAAATACATAGATAGTCCTATGGATTATACCTGGGAATACATAGATATACAGGGTGTATAGAAATTATGCGCAAAATATAGAAGAGTGATTCTACATGATAAAATGAGAAATTCATTTATTATGTACGTGGGTCCTTAAATGCATAGTTTTCAACATAGAGTGTGTTGAACTCTTAAAAAAATGTTTTTTCATGAATATCTCCAATGTTCTTTCACCGATTTCCTTGAAATTTGGAAATGATATTTTTCGTCATGGAGGGGTAATATATATTTTTTTTTTTTTATCGATTGGAGCGCACGAAAGGGAATCCCTATAATGTTCAAAGAACATCGTGCGTTCCTAGGGAGGATAGGGACAGGAGGTAGGTATTGGAATTTTTTTTGAATTTTTGGAGATTATATGTTGTTGGGAATACTTCCACAGGCAATGAATTCCAGAGCCTAGCCGTTCTATGGATGAAGGAGTCTTGATAAAGTGCTGTTCGACATCTTTCGAGGTTGACAACGAAAGGATGTGCTGACTGGGCTTGTCTAGTTCGTCTGATTGGTATTGCTAGTGAAGGGATGATTGCAGAGATTTCCGAAGAACATTTCCCGTGGAAATATCGATAGAAAAGTGAAAGGTCGCCGACCTTTCTACGGTGTTCCAATGATGTCAAAGAGTGAGTGAGTGTGGCGTCACCCACCAGGCGAATGGCTCTTCTCTGGATGGAATCTAAGAGCATCAGCGTATGTTTTGGTGCTGAACCCCATATGTGGGAACAGTATTCTAGAACAGGCCGTATCTGCGCTTTGTAGATCATAAGAAGCTGTTGAGGTGTAAAGTAGCTTTTCGCACGGAACAAGAATCCGAGTTTTTGTGAAGCAGCTTTTGCGATGGATCTGACATGATTATCCCATGAAAGAGTGTTGCTGATGGAAATACCGAGCATAGATATGGTGGGCTTGGTGGGGATCGTGGAGCCAGACATTTCAATATCGGGCATACTGAGTTCCGCCTTTCTAGAGAAAATGCAGGCTTGAGTTTTGGTGGCGTTGAATTCAACTAGGTTGTTCGTTCCCCAGGCTGTGATTTCAGCAAGATCTTCATTGACAGCATTGACCTGCCTGCGCCATGATTCAATCGGAATCATGGAATCCAGTGGCGTCCCGGGAAGCAACCTACCGAAAATTATTGTCAATGAAATGTGCGCCACTGATTTTTTTTTAATCCTCCATCTCCATCAGCTATTGGCCAACTCCATGAAAAAAAATTATACTAATGTATTGCATAAATTTGTGCTGAAAAATCCTTCAAAAACTGGGGTGAACATAAATGTGTTATCCAGCATACTTAAAATAGCGATAATTAAAAGAACCTAACTAAGGACATAAACAAACAATCAAGAGACAAAAACTTCAGAAATACTAGAATCGATACTATAAATATTTATTATACTGTGCCTACTATACTACTATGATATGATAGCATTATTGAGGTGAGCAGTTGAGCCGTACACATTTTTATTCCATCAGGAATATATTTCTTAGCCAACTAGATCATCGAAATGTTGATGAGCTAGTTGTCTTGGATTTTCAAGAATGAAACTTTTTAGGGCCTTTTTGAATTGTGGACGATATACAATTCCTTTAAGCCGTCCAGCGTCCAGGTAGTGCATTATAAAATTTCGGTGCCAGATAATCGAAAGAACGTTGGGTTGATGTTTTCCTCATATGGGGTACTAGGTGTTGATTTCGATTTCGTGTATGGTATGAGTGAGTAGCTATTTGTGAGGTATGCTTTGTGGTATGATATTTCGTGAGTGTGAGGAAAAAGTATAGTTGTCTGATGTCCATGATTTTTGTTTCTAGATACAACTGATCTGAGTCGTACCGTCGATCTTTTGAAAAAATGAGTTTGAGAAACCGTTTCTGACTGATTTCCAAGAGATGAATGTATGTTTTTGCAGCTGCTCCCCATCCTAGTATTCCATAGCGAAGATGGCTTTCAATCTTCATTCTCATTCTATGTCTATATCTATAGACATTGATCACACATTCATCTTCACCACTGATTTTGAAGGGATATTCTGCAGAAATTAATACAATAATTTGGTATTTATTTTTTTCGACGAAAACGAAGATAAATATCTAAATAATTCAGGAGACCAAAATATAGTTTTTTTTGTATCTAGAGCGCGAAATGCTACTTTGGTGATCGAGATTTGATTTTTTAACGAGGCGTAGCCGAGTTATGAAAATAGTCGAGATGACCAAAGTATTTCGCGCTCGAGTTGCAAACAACATTTTTTCTACAAGCGTCCAAAAATATAGTTCCAAAGTAAGAATATGCTTAGCTTGATATTAAAAATAGTGTTGAACTGGCTCCTCAAATCCTCCTTAGGTACGCACGATGTTCCACGAACAAAATAGGAATTTCCTCTCGTGATCTCCAAGAGATAAAAAGAAATTATTGTTGAACATTCAGAAATAAATGATTTCGTGGATGTTTGCTCGATTGAGGCCATACAGTTGAAATATAAATATCTCTTATATTTTACATAACAATGCGCGAAGTAGCTACTTCGCGCACTGTTTTACTTCGCACATTGTTTTGTGCAAGGTATCATGGTAACGTAGGAAACTGAAAAAAGTGTCACTTCGCAATTTGTTATCAATGCGCGAACCTTGTCATTTTTTGACGTTTGTAGAAAAATGTATTTTTTTCTACAAACGTCAAAAAATGACAGGGTTCGCGCATTGATAACAAATTGCGAAGTGACACTTTTTTCCAGTTTCCTACGTTACCATGATACCTTGCACAAAACAATGCGCGAAGTAAAACAGTGCGCGAAGTACCTACTTCATAACCCCCTAGATTTTTTGTGCATGTTTTCAATAGTTCTCGAAGAATCTCAATCCACTTAATTTTTCTGGAAAAAAATTTGCGCACTCTGATAGTGAAATGCAAATTATCTAAATATCAAATTGAAAGCAATAAAGTTCACATTTTTACTGTGATCAAGGTCACCATTCAAGGAGCACTCAAATTGAGATTAATTCGATGAAGTGGTTCAATGATGACATTCCAATATTACATGATTACGATGATATTATAAAAATTAAGTCACTCATATCAAGATTACTTGCGATCAATTGAATAGTTAAATGAATAGTATTTCCGTATCAGGGTGATTCAGTTTCTTTCAGCAAAGATAATTTGGGTGATAGATATACGGTCTTTACGACAATGGAGGAGATGATTTATTCCTATCACAAAACTTCAATAAAAGTGAACCTGATCAAACAGATGAAACTAGAGTGTTGAAAATCTCAGAAAATTCGTTTCACAAGAAAAATCTTGATATTGTCTTACAACTTTCTATAGACAATTCATCGAGCAATTCATAATCATCCACTTTGGTTGAAAAAAAAAACAAAAATAGTATCTCGTTCAATAACATTGCCACACTAGAAGAAAACATTTCCATTATTCAACAAAACAATCTCACTGAAAACCAATTGCCTACTACTTACTCCCTCACAACAAATATCCTTCACATCAAAACCTTACATAAAAGAGATAACACCCAAGCTTGCTAGAATTTTTGTGAACATCGCGAATATAAAAATAGAAAATGAAACAGTTTTCACAATCACCTCCATATACACAGAAGTGAAAGATAAAGTACCATTGACATCCCGAAAGAATGTAGTATAATATAGTATTCCATGCAAGAATTGTGATAGAAAGTATATGTTGGTCAAGCCTCTATAGAGCCTTTAAGGCGAGAATAACGTCATATAAAAGTGACAGCAGACTCAATCCTGAAAGATGTGCTCTAGCTAATCATCTAAACCAATATGACCATCATATGGATTATGACAATGTAAAGATTCTAACGAGTGAAAATAACTCAACCAAGAGGTCCTTCTTAGAAATGAACATGAAAACAGATATTAATTATCTATGTGAAATGTATTCCTATTTATTGACATTAGACAACAACTCTCTCAGTATTGAATCCAATAATATTCCTGACCTATAAAGTTCAATTTGAAATTTACCAAATTCTCACAGTTGGTACAATAGTTGGTACCACTAGATAGTTACAGGTCATGTCAACACTGTCAACAGTGTCATCAGATTTTCCTAACCTGATTCAATATTTTTCCATATTTCGGGTCACATGGTGACCATAAACAACTAGCAATAACTTCGAA